AGACCTGAAGAGTCCTGATAGAGACCTGAAGAGTCCTGATAGAGACCTAGAGAGTCCTGATAGAGACCTGAAGAGTCCTGATAGAGACCTAGATAGTCCTGATAGAGACCTGAAGAGTCCTGATAGAGACCTGAAGAGTCCTGATAGAGACATGAAGAGTCCTGATAGAGACCTAGAGAGTCCTGATGGAGACCTAGAGAGTCCTGATAGAGACCTAGAGAGTCCTGATAGAGACCTAGAGGGTCCTGATAGAGACCTAGATAGTCCTGATAGAGACTTGAGAGTCCTGATAGAGACCTAGAGGGTCCTGATAGAGACCTAGAGGTCTGCAGGTGGATCAGAGGTGCAGGTGGATCAGAGGTGCAGGTGGGTCAGAGGTGCAGGTGGATCAGAGGTGCAGGTGGGTCAGAGGTGCAGGTGGATCAGAGGTGTAGGTGTATCAGAGGTGCAGGTGGGTCAGAGGTGCAGGTGGGTCAGAGGTGCAGGTGGGTCAGAGGTGCAGGTGGGTCAGAGGTGGATCAGAGGTGCAGGTGGGTCAAAGGTGCAGGTGGGTCAGAGGTGCAGTTGGGTCAGAGGTGCAGGTGGGTCAGAGGTGGATCAGAGGTGCAGGTGGGTCAGAGGTGCAGGTGGGTCAGAGGTGCAGTTGGGTCAGAGGTGCAGGTGGGTCAGAGGTGCAGGTGGATCAGAGGTGCAGGTGGGTCAGAGGTGCAGGTGGATCAGAGGTGGGTCAGAGGTGCAGGTGGGTCAGATGTGGATCAGAGGTGGGTCAGAGGTGCAGTGAATGAATCTTCACGCTGTTCAGAACCCGGTTTACTGCAAAGGTTTTCTCATGAGACAAATTTTCTTGTTTTTTTAAAACCAACATGGAATAAAATAAACATCAAAAGCAAGAACATTAAACTAAAGATTTAAACAAAGATGTCTAATATATCTAAATTCTAACTAAGCTAAACTCATAAAACCAAGCTGCACTGCATGCTCATATGGACCTGCAGTTTAGCACTTGCATATATTTAACATATAGTTGATTAAATGGTTTATATGTGAACACACTGTTTAACGTCATGTGTAATATATGAAGGTATTACACATGGTCTAAAGTCCAGCAGAGCATCTGTCATCGTCCTCTAATCAATCACATGATGTCCACTGCCTAATAAAGGATTATTGAGTAAATACATAAAACACCCAAGAGGCCCTTACTTGCACAAAACTGGAAGTCGCAATATTCTATTTAATTCTCTATCACCATGAGCTCAGCAGCTTCAGTGGAGACATGGCAATGACAACCTGTCCTCCTCCAACAGAGCAACATGAATATACATGAGATCAAATCAATAAAACAGATACACTAGTGCAAGGGAATGACCCTAATCGGGGTTATTTACACAAAAACCCTCAGTCCCCGGTAGAGCCTCACTCAACACAGGCTGGAACACCACTGTTGTTCAATATGGAAATTGGGAAAAGTCTATTACAAATTAAATTTGTAAATGAAATTGTAATTGTATATATTTTGTGCATGTCCTTCATCTCATAGTGTCTGCTGTGACAATGTAAGCGTCCCCTCTGTGGGGACAATAAAGGTTTTCTGATGTCCCTTTCAACTGGTTTGAAAGAAGAGGGTTAGGGCCACATTAAAAAATAGGGGTCTGACCAAGAGAAAACATTTCTTTAGTTCTGAGATAAATATCAAAATATCACGATTCTGCTAAAAAAGTTTTTTTTTTTTGCTGAGACTTGTGTTTCTCCGAAAATCTTAAAATTACCACTTTTCCTCAGCAGTCAGAATTCTGAGATTTTGAGAAAAAAAGTCATAATTTTAGAAAAGAGACACCATTTTGAGATTTTCTGGAGAAAATAAATCAGAAATCTGAGAAAAAAGGTTCGTACTTTTTCACGAAGAACGTCAACATCAGGAGAAAAAGTCAGAAATATGCCAAACTTAAAGAAACTAAACAAGGCCCTAATCCTCGTCTGGAGATGTGTCATCGCCAATGTATTATATAACTGTTTACTAAGTGGCATCAAATACTTCATATGATTCTGATTCTTTTTCTTAAATGTTATAGCGGACAGACTTTGCTCGATGTTTCCGTCTGAAGTCACCGTGCTCAAAGTGAAATCAGATATCAGAGCAATCATCTGATATAAATCACTCACAGGAACCACGAGGCTTCTGATGAAATCTATAACTAAATAACCTTGACCTTAATCCAAGGTATATTACAAATACAATCAGTGATGCAGTGGAAGAAAGAAGGACAAAACAGCAATATGTAAATAGGATTCGTTTTTAATTTACGATATCAAGTCTTAAATAGTGACAGATAACTATATCTTAAACGTTACATTACATATTTAAAATGTAAATGCTTAAAACCATCGACCTCTCACATACAATAACAAATATAAAAATAAGTGGTGACTTAGGTGCGTTCACACCTGCCTTGTATAGTCTGGTTGAATTGAACCCTGGTGCGTTTAGCCGCTTGGTGCGGTTCATTTGGGTCGGTGTGAACGCAGTCCGAGACCTCTTAAGTGAACTAAACAACCGGACTCTGGTCCACCTAAAGGAGGTGGTCTCGGAGCGCTTGCTTGTGAACTCTGGAGCGGTTCATCTCTGGTGTGAACGCAGTCCGCACCAAAACATCGGACGCGCAGTATTTACGTGTCACAAGAACGCGGATGTCTTCAAAAATCTTTAGCGAAAGAGTCTTTCAAGACATCCGCGGTTGTTTAGTTAAAGAGTGAAGCAGAATGAAGTGTTGAACAGTGTCGTGTAAAGTAAACATTCTCCGTCAGCTATAAAAGTAAGAGCACCTGTCGTCGGTGAAACGCCCTCCTGACTGCAGAACGTCTCTCATTATGCTATAATGTTTTTTAACGGACGTTGTCTGATTATATAATCATATGCGCGGGCCGCTAGTGTCTGTTTATCCCCAGATCAACAGCAGCATGAGAATAACCTGCCCAAAGTGCCGATGCTCCATGGCGGAGGCTCCGGTAGAAATTGCCGGGATTTGCATTTTCACCCCCTTAATGTCTGACCAATGGTTGAACAGCATTTCCGAGCACATGACTTGTGTTTAAAGTTTATAGTCCGTTTGAGTTTTGCTGTGTGAACGCAAACCGAACCTTCTGAAAATAATAATAACTGTGTAATATATAGCTGGCTGCTAAATCCTAAGAACTGTTACAGGATTTGTATTTTGAAAAAAAAAAAAGATTTTTTATTTTTTTTGTATTATATTTTTTATTTTATCATAACTTAGTACTTTTTTTAACATATGTAACATTAAGCTGTCCGTGGCTCTTTCCTGCTGTAACGATGCAAATGTCCCCATGCCTTTATTACGTACATCTCCAGTATATCACGTTACTGCACTCCAGAGGCGGGACCAAGTCATGTGACTCCTCTGCTGCACTCAGTCTGCTAATGTGTGAACCCTGAAACAGGTTGTGAGTTATCTTTGTATTTTAATCAGGGATGCAGTGGGAGAAAAACGGACAAAACAGCAATTTAAAAATAGGATTTGTTTTTAATTTACAATATCATAAATACTGACAGATAACAATATCTGAAAAGTTACATTAAATATTTAAAATTGAAATGCTTAAAGTTAAAACCATCGACCTCTCACATACAACAAACAATATAAAAATAAGTGGTGAACTCTGGTTTTAGAGATTCTGAAGCATCTCTCAGCCGGACGTCAGAGATCTGGTTTTAGAGATTCGTTGCTTTCACCGTCTCCACCGTGTCTTCGTCTCTCGACATGCCGTGATTGTCGTACATCTCCAAACTCTTCTTGCTGTTCCTCCTCTTCATCTTCTCCTCATCCTCCTCCTCCGTCCGGCAGCATTTGCAGCAGCAGCAGCATCTCCGCCCGCAGAACCCGAACATGGACTGCACCACGGCGTCCCACGGCTCCATGGAGTGAAGCGGACGAGGAAGGAACTCCCAGCTCCGCAGTATCCGAGGCAGGAAACGTTCACATTGCGACTGCATCACGTTTACGACGATTACGAAGATCACCAGCGCCACGATGGGCACGCCGACGCCCACCAGGACCTGCCATCCCGCCATAGAGAGGCCGAAGATGCTCAGAGGAAGCACCAGGAAGCAGATGACGAGGTAGACAGCAGCGAACCAGCGGTACTGAGCCGTGTGGTTCCCCAGGCCGCGGGCCAGACGGATGGGAATACGCGTGAAGGGGATCGGGTACCAGAGCATGATCCCCATGATGTTGAAGAAGAAGTGGCACAGAGCGATCTGGAGGAAACAAATCAGAGCTGTGACCTCAGGGGAAACATCAGGATACTACTCTGAGAAAAAGCTAACATTAGCATGCTAATATGGGTCCAAAAGAGAGGTGCAGCCAAGAGTCCTCACACCCCGAAAATCACATCGACAAATCCCACTCCCAAAATCCTGGTTTAATCTTTGACAAATGTCTGTGTCTTCTTCAACATCATGGGGTACCAGAGCTGTGACCTCAGGGGGATCATCAGGATACTACTCTGAGCTAACATTAGCATGCTAACATGGGCCCAATAGAGAGGTGCAGGAAGGAGTCCTCAAACCCTCAACATCACATCGAGAAATCCCATTGGATGTGTAATGGCTAACTCTCGGGTTAGCCATTACACACCACGATGTTGCCATCATGTTGATGTTTAGCAGGTATAATGTTTACCCTAGATGTTTACTTGGCAAGCATGCTAACAATACAAGAAGTGTATTCCATTCCAATAAAATTCCACAATTGTTGATACCCAACCCAGTCTCCCGGCGTGTCGTGTTGGAGTCACGAAATCAATGTAATCTCTTGATTCGTGTTCACCAACACCATTTCCCCTTTTTCTCGTGTCACACAGAACGATTTAAAAAGTATTTCTATTGGTAGTGTGTTTCGTGCCTGCAGCACGTCTTTCTGTCCGGTCGGGTCTTGGAAGAAGATATTTTATAACTCAACATCTTACCCTGAGCCTAACCCTATCCCTTTTATTTGTTGCCGTCCGTGAGGAAAATAAATTGCTCAGAGCCTCAGAATACTGAAATCTGTATTTTTTGTCATATTTTTTGACAAAATGGGGAAATCGTGTTGGTGAACACGAATCAATAGATTCATTTCGTGACTATAACACAAAATGCCGTGAGACTGTTTTGCGATACCACGTAAAATCACTTCGACACACTCTCCATGATGACTGTTTGTCTACTGGTTTTTGTTAGGAAGTCAGAGAGGTTTCTCCCATCTCCCAAAAGGTAACATCTTACAGTTAGCTGCTATATGATTACTTGGCTAGCATGCTAAAAATACAAGAAGTCAGGTCGATTCAAATAAAATCCCACAATAGTCGATACCAAGTCGATACCACGTACAACTGGAGTCACATGCACTTCGACAAACACCCTGTGATTACTGTTTATCTTCTGGTATTTGTTAGGAACTCATAGAAGTTTCTCCCATCTCCCAAAAGTCAACATCTAACAGTTAGCTGCTAAAAGCTAATAGCTAACTACCAAACTCCCACTGTTCTCCTCCCAGTGTCCACACAGATAAACCACACATGGAGAGTATTTTAAATTAATCATCTGGCTAAAACTTTCTCTCAGAAAGGTATTCTGATTGTGATAGTGATGCTAACAGCTGTTAGCCTCTCACCTGCAGAGAGTTGTTGAGCGTTTCTCCGGGGCTGGCCATCGCAGCCAGGATAGCCGTGGTGGTCGTTCCAATATTAGAGCCCAGAGTCAGAGGGTAGGCTCGCTCCAGGCTGATCACCCCGATACCTGGGG